GCAAATAGAAGATGCGCAGATTAACTTAACTCAATCCTTTAGCTTGTTTCAGAATTGCAGTTTGGAATTATTATGGAACCTCGAATCATAGAGCATTCTGGAGTAGCTGATTAGGCCTACAGTGTGAGAACAGCTCGCAGCGAGTGAGAAATTGAGACAGAAATTTTCTCTAAAAGTTCAGGGGAACAAACGTTTTGGAACAACCATGTGTAGATGGAAGGATAATATTAAATTGGATCTAAAGGAAATAGTACTTGAAGTTGTTGGCGAGATTCAGCTGACTTAGATTAGAGTTCAGTGAACAGCTTATCGTAATAATAAGTCTGGTCTCATAAATTTAGTAAACACCGAAGTTATTAAATTCCAATAGGACCTGCGAAGCGGAAATAATTCAGTTATTTGATGTAGTGGACTCTAATTGAATTCGCACTGATGTGTGTGTACACAAAATTATCAGGTTTCAGTGTTTCAATGTTCTACATACATTTTGACTTTCTTATTGAACAATTCGCTGTTAAGACTATCCGTAAAGCATGGAAATTTGACATAAACTCGATGTCTGCTTTAGCTGTAGCATATGTTGACGTCTGGTGATTGAAGTTAACGACCTTTTCCCAGACAGACTATTTTCATCTCGAATCACTTACAGATGGAGGTCAACTTGGAGTCATACGTTTCCTGGTTATATAATTTTCAAATCTCCTTTGACTTGTGACTTGCAGTTGACCCTTTATTTGTATAGTACAATATGCCCATTGTATGCTTTCTTCCGCTTGAGTGTGTTCGAATGTGCCCCAGAATGTGCCCCAGAATGAGAGTGACTATTGTCTGATTATTGAGGGTAAATCTGCGGAGATGGGTTAAAACCAGTTACATCAGAAATGTAATTCAAAACTAGATTTGAAGATAAATTCAAAGCTGAGGAGTAATTCTGTCTTATGGTATATGACGCCATGTAGTCTGGTAGAAGTTAAACGTTTCGTAGGAAAATATTGTCTCCATCTTCATGGTAAAAAAGTTGATAACGAGCAAACATAAAGCTCTCATGATACTAATAATAATTGAAATTTTCTTTGTTAATTTTTTATTCAGCAGTCCGAAGGTCAGTTATAAGTTAAGAAAAAAAAGAGGCAGACGACGACGACGACGACGACGACGGCAGTTATGCCCGGTTTCACTAATCAACTTTCAGTCACGATATACCCAAATAATTGACAAATGTGCAGATCTTGCAGAAAAATTAAATTGAACACGGAAGTGGATACTGACATGCATAGCCTATTAGGCCCATAATCATTCCAGCAGCTGTATATGTACTACAGAGGCAGTAAGGAGAACATCCGAGGTCTGACAATAAAGTTTGTGAACTCCCCATCATGTACTTGCCGTGCAAGCAGTGGACAGAAACCTCACTATGGTTTGATGACGTCATACAAAGTTTACTACTTGGAAGAACTGAAAGGACTATTTGAAGGAGAAGGAAAAGACCCGAACTTTGTGCCAACAACTCATGGATCTTGCTCACGACAATGGACCTGCTCACACAGCCCTGTCTGTGAGGGAGTTTTTAGCTAGTAAACAAGTAACTGTGCTGGAACACCTTACCTATTCACCGGATCTAGCCCCCAACAACTTTTTTCTGTTCCCAACGATAATGGAAATAATGAAAGGAAAACATTTTAATGACATTGATGACATCAGGAGTAATACAACGTCAGCTGTGAAGCCCATTTCATAAACCAGTTCCAAGATTGTTTTGAAATGAGGATTAAGCGCTGACATCTATGCATACCTCTCCGAGAGGACTACTTTGAAGGCGACATCAGTGATATTCAGCAATGTGGTGCCGCGATGAGTTCGCGAACTTTATTGTCAGAGAACGTACGTATGAAGGTACTTGAAACTGATGGTACTGTACAGCTGGTTCTGAAAGCTGTTATGATTGGTACCTGACACACAATGAGAAGATTTCTTGCCGAACCTCAGCTGGATATCTTCAACGGACGCAGCTGTCTCACAGTCCTCTATGTCTGCATATATAGCAGTACAGCAATAAACAACCGAGAATTATAAAAACATAATAGTAATTCGTTTCCATTAAATTCCTTTATTTGAGTGCTTGCTAACAGCAAAAAACCTATAACACTTTTGAAAACAAAATGAATGACATGTTAACAGAAACCACAAGCTAAACAGGATTGCAAAAAAAGAAAAAATATCGTCAAGGTAAATTGTATTTTTGCTAAAGCATTCAAGAAGCCGACAGATGATGTGTGCGGTTGTACCGCGCTTTGATGAGGGTCTGAGCCTTGAAGCATTACTTTCATCAATAAAAGTGGAAGAGACCCCAATTTTGGTTTATGCGCCCACGAAGACTAATGTTATCCATAATGGAACAACAATTGATTTTGCCCTTGTAAACATTAACAAAAAACAAAGAATATAGATGTTGTCGCCTGGAATAAACTGAGAAATACATGCAATGAACTAGAAAATTTGATGCATGAGAATACATGTAATCAACATGACGATGTAAGTGCAGATTACTATGTAACGTAGCACCAAAATATTTTACACATTCAGTTCCTACGGTTATGAACGTCACCAATGTAGTAATTAAGTGGATATTATTATTTTCTTGAATTAATTTGGTTTTGTATTTGTTTTAAGAATGTTTGGTTTCATGTAATTTTTATTGCACCATTTTGCTGCCGAACCAATATCGGATTATGCTAATTTATAATTTTCAACAGAGCGTTATATCCCAAAAGATAGTACTTTTTTATGAATACTTTCTGGAATAAACGGAGAAGACGAAGAATAAATGTTAAACAAATTGGCCAGCAAAGACTTCAGCAATGCACCGTGACTGTGTTATTATAAGCTGTATGTTGGGTGACAGAATGGTAATACTTTTTAAAATTGGAAACGTATTTCTAGAAGTACTTTTGTTGGATTCTCGGGTTATCATCAATATATTTTTAATAACAAATGTTCTATTTGAATGGCAGTTTTACCAGTTTTCAATAATACGTAATAACACCATATTGGTGATCATAGTTTGATTTCTTTTGTCTTAAAAATATTAATTTTTCTTATTAATGTAAAGTTTTAAATCTCGGAAGAAAGTAATTTTTGGATCTTGTAAAAACGATGCTAGATTTATAGCTTCCGGCACTATGACAGTGAGCCAGACTGCAGAGTCAGCAGAATATTCACTGAGAACACGTGACCAGTGAGAATGACATAAATCATTGTGAAGGAACAGGTAAGCGTCCTCAGAAGAGTTGCAGCGAGGGGGTCAAGGGAACTAGGAGGGGGAATGCAAAGTTATGTTTGAGGCTCACATAGCAGTGGCTGTGACAAGATATATCTTCTGGGATATAGTGCCTTGTAGTGCGATGAAAGTCAACTGGCGTTTCATGCCTCCATCTTCAGTGTCGAAGCGTAAGCTAAGCATGTAAGCAGCATGAAGCAATTGGCAATCAAATGTGCTTGATACTGTGTAGTTAACACTGTTTCTCCTCGAGTCGTACCCGAATTTAAGCAGAATCTGTCAGACCGGGAGTTGTGTATGACAAATAAGTTTGTCATTTAGCCAGGTGTTAGAAAGAAAATACAGTTTGTGGTTTGAAATGCAAATATTTTCCGTCAACTCACTGCATACATTTCTGTGTCCCCTGAAATCTGTATAAGAGATGTAATAATTACAAATAATAATAATAATAATAATAATAATAATAATAATAATAATAATAATAATTCAATTCGTGTTTATTTACGGTCAAACGTAACAGAACAGATGTCAATTACAAAGTTAGCATTACATAAAAACAATTAAAAAACAAAATACAAAATATGACAGTCTATATAATGATATTAAATTAATGTTCACTGTTGATCTTGACACCATCACGACCAAAGACTTTACAGATGCCATTTGGGCGAACCGCTTCCAGCTGCAGGCTGAGAGAATCTTTATCCCCGATACATGTAACAGTACACTGTAGCTGTGCAGAAATGGCTTCCTTCTGATTACTCTTGGAGAAGAAATGCTCGTTTGAGGCATCCCCGTGAGTTGCTTACAGCTGCCACACTTGTGAGCGGACTTAACCGTCGATGCACTTGCATTGGTCTCCAGCACACAAGTCTGCAGCAATGAAATCGTGAATCACATTTGCCGCACCGAATGAAGTTTTGCTTTCCGTAAAACGCCTTTTCACAAACTGCACACAGATCCTTACTGGCCGTATCTAACCAGCGGCAGGCCTGTACACACAGGGATATTCTAGGCACTCAAGCGGTCGGGAACACAAGCACATGTTCTCAGAACTCGAGCGCCGTAAAGAACTCCTTCCTGGGCCTATGACAGGAAATCATGGATGTTCAATCCAATTTCACACAGTTGAATAGATTTCAATTAAGTCTGATGGCTACTGTGAAAGATCTATCTTTCAGTAGCCACTGTGAAGAACAGTGTTTAATATTAATCGCAAATATTATCAGTGAATTGTATCTGTTTTACTCTTTTGCTTTAGTATGCTGTAGACCAGTGATATTCATTCATCTGTAATCTGTCAAGACGACAGGTCCACAGTCTCTTCCAAAACATTTCTTCCACTTGATGCGATCTAGAGCTTTCTCCTTCAAATGAAAATATCCTCTTCTGTCCCCAAGATCATCCAGCATCTTCTTACGTCTTCTTCCTCGTCTTCTGGTCATTTCTATCCGCCCCTCTATCTTTCCTTCAATAACTACTTTTAGAAGGCAGTTACCGCGTAAGTTACCAATCCAATTAGCCTTCCGTTTTCTTATTTCGTGTAGGATATTCCTTTGCTCACTGACTCTAATTAACACTTCTTCATTTCCCACATAATCGGTCCAACTGATCTTCTCCATCCTTCTCCAACACCACATTTCGAAGCTTTCCAGGTGTTTCTGATCTACTGCCCTGAGTGCCCATCGAGTGATATAGCTGGAAATTTTGATCTCGTTTGCAGAAAAGAAGGAAGTCCTGAAAAGCGTGTCTGGCAGTTTCAGCTCGGGACAGTTGATAGCTATCATGGGTCCGTCTGGTGCAGGGAAGTCTTCGTTACTCCGTGTACTTTCTGGATTTACGTAAGCATGCAGAAACTTGTTCATGATATATATATTTCAAGTCATATAAATCTTCGACTGACCTAGTTCTGAACCTTGAGTCAAATTAATTAATCTGTTTTCTCCTTGTCTATTAACATGATTAAATATATTTATAGAGTGTCATAAATTAAAATAATTTTGTGGTATACAGAACGTATTTGGGCAAAAAATGATTTTTTAGTCGTGTAAGATTATAGATAGGCCTAATATCTGTTTTAGTAATCGACTTTTTACATATCAACTGTTTTCCTACAATTGCTCCGTAATTCGACTAGACTGAAATCAGAACACCTTATTACTGCCAGTAAAGTAGAATGTATAAAAACAAAGAAAATTCGTCAATATGACCACCAATCCGCTTGAAGATGGGATCAAAGCCAAATGCTGAAATCTTTTTGATGTTAAATACTTAATAACTAGTGCCAGTCATAATTGATGTACAAGGAACAATCGTTCATTGCCATAAATCTTTAGAGAAACGTTATTCATGACGTGTCACTTCGGGTTTTCTTTTGTTTTGCTGCAGTACGAAAGGAGTACAAGGGACTATCCGTTACAGCGGCAATGGCCTTCATAGCAAGAAGGAGAAGAAGGAAAGATGCTACATCATGCAGGAAGACTGTTTGTCTCCTCTCTTCACCGTGTACGAAATAATGACACATTGTGGGAACCTTAAATTGGGGCCAAATTTTCCTGAAAAGGCCAAACAATTATTGGTAAGTAGGTATATTACAGACTGAATGACTTACGGATACCATGCACTGTTGTTGTGTCTGAACCATAGGTTTCCGGATTTCAGATATCCCGCCCACCCTCATTTTGCCGGAAAAATTGGTAGAGCTCGATTGTTGTGTGATGGCACAAGCCTGTTCTGAAGAGGGGAAGTCAAGGGAGAACATGGTCTCAGAATAAGCCACTCCAGCCCAGACAGCAGCTGCCAGCAGAGAAATGAAAATCTGTCCCTCATACGAGTATCTGCTGTAAGAGAATAAATACTCACCCTTTCATCCATATACGAAAATTGTCTTTTATACGTGTGCCATCACATTGTAATCGAGCTTTACTTACTCGGCGAGTCAGTGAATGGAACCGAGCCCACATTACCGTATTTACAGAAACATGCCTTTAGACTATATCGTGAACTGTTTGGAACAGCGTCCTATTTCAGTAAGATCTATTTTAATGTTAACCTCCCCTCCACGAATAAGTTTCGCGAGTGGCCTCTTTTGATCTGGAATTCTGACCAAAATCGTGTATGCTTTTCCTGTCTCACACATCGCGTCTGTTTTATGCACTATGATTTGAGTGTTTCGCTCTGGAACACAATTATTCTCATCCATTGGGGAAGATAAGTGACGGCAGGTTCGAGTCAACCGCATAATGAGGAGCTTCGTAAGTTGTACTCTTCTCCGAGTATAATTAGATTGATCAAGTCAAGGAGGATGAGGTGGGCAGGGCATGTGGCACGAATGGGGGAGACGAGGAATGCATATAGGATATTACTGGGAAAGCCAAAAGGAAAGAGACCACTGGGAAAACCAAGGAGTAGATGGCTGGACAATATTAAAATGGATCTTAAGAGGGTTAGGACGGGTCGGCATGGATTGGATCGATCTGGTTCAGGATAGGAACCAGTGGAGGGCTTTCCAGAACACGGTATTTTACCTTCGGGTTCAATAAAATGCTGGGAAATTCTTGAGTAGTTGCAGAATTTGCGGTTCCTCAAGAAGAACTCAGTTCCATGAGTAAGTAAGTAAGTACGCACATACCGTCGTATTTCACATGTGAACAAGGATCTCCAATGTAAAGTTTGGTCGTAATCAGACGACTGAACTGGTTGGGGCCCGTTAGAACGGAGACTCTCAACTTTTCGAGTCCTCGGACCCCTTAGCAAAATATTACATACTCAAACACCCCTCAGCCTTCCTTTCGGGTTCTCTAGCAAGATATTAAACACTCAAGTCCCCTCATGTCTTCACATTTAAATTGTGTGCTTATCAACTTAAAACAGGTTGAAATAAATTCATTTATTTAAAATGTTTTAATGCTTCAATATTTAATACCTCTTACAATGTATTTTCGTGCCTCAGTCGTTAAATAACAAAAATGGCTGAGACACACACTATACACACCCTATGTAAATCTTGATTCCAAAATATTTATTATACCATTATTCCGGATAAACAGATATTGTGAAACATTAAAAATATTTAATATAATAGTTTTTTCCTTCGACCTTAGGATAGGATGACAAAAATAATCCTGTGTACCCCTAGAGGTCCTCGGACCACACTTTGAGAATCAATGTGTTAGCATGACAGTTGTCTCTTTATGTAACACACCGTGAAATGACGTGTGTTACAAAACGTTAACTTCCGTGGCTGTTTCCACTGACAAAGGAATGAGACCTACAAGAAATAGTAACATTTAGCCCTCAGTAACCCAGTCACATCTTGTAAATTGACCTGACGTAACTGCGGTCCTCCAAATTCTCACTATCTATAGGTACGTTTCTCGGAATAAAATGTAAAGCTATCCCTGTGGAGGTCCATTGAATTGTGAGACGTCGAGGCTCCCACATTTTCTAGACAATTGGCTCACAGATAGCCGTGAGGTTGTCAGCCGTAAGCTCTGGCCGCCCTTTACCCCCTGGAAAATTCCTGGTACTCGTTTCTGTTAGAGGCTAAGTCGACTCCAGGGCCATAGTGCTTCTGTGAGGATTAGGTAAGTTGAAAAATCCAATGATCTCTAACTGAAATGAGTACAAGGGATCTTCATGGGAGTAAACAGGGCAGCCGGCGAGTAAGGCTGGCAACCTTACCGCCGTCTGTGAGCCAGTTGTCTAGAGAAAATGTGGGAGCCTCAACGTCTCACAAGTCTATGGACCTCCACGGTCTGTTACAGGGATAACTTTATCTCTTTTACGTTTCTAGGAATCCTCTAAGCCATCTTTGTCTTTATCTGTTCACTTCTTATTCACTTACTTACTTACTTACTTACTTACTTACTCATGGAGCTGAGCCCCATTGGAGGAGCCGCCAATTCTGCAGCTACTCAAGAATTTCCCAGCATTTTATGGCATCCGAAGGTTCGTCACCGTGTTCACAAGAGCCCTCCACTGGTCCCTATCCTGAGCCAGATCTATCCAATCCATACCATCCCATCCTCTCTCTCTCAGATCCATTCGAATATTGGTCTTCCCTGTGGTCTCTTTCCTTCTGGCTTTCCCACCAATATCCTATAAGCATTCCTCGTCTCCCCCATTCGTGCTACATGACCTGCCTACCTCATCCTCCTTGACTTGATCATTCTAATTATACTTGGAGAAGAGTACAAGTTATGAAGCTCTTCATTATGCAGTTTTCTCCAACCTCACTTCATCTCTCTTCGGTCCAAATATTCTCCTCAGCACCCTGTTCTCAAACACCCTCAGTCTATGTTCCTCCATTAATGTCAGAGACCAAGTTTGACACCCATACAGAACCACAGGCAAAATTATACTTTTGTATATTCTAAATTTATGTTTTTGAACAACAGACAAGAAGACAAAAGGTTGTGGACTGTGGTAGCAAGCATTACTCGAGTTCAGTGTCCTCTTAATTTTCTCCTGAATCAGGTTTTGATTTGTTATCGTTGTTCCCAAATATCTTAATTGTGCCACATTTTCAAAACATCTGTTTCCTATGTAAGATTTGAGGTTTTCTTAGCGGTGACTATGCAGAAAGCAGTCTTCTGGGATGTGGCACCGTGTAGATGTGGTGTTAACTGACGTTTTGGAGGAACGTATCTGCTTGCACCTGTTACCACTGTCTCTTCACTTGCAGATTTTCTTATTTTTCCTTCTACCCTGAAGATGGAGGCGATACGTTCTTCCGAAACGTCGGGTAACACCACATCTACATGGTGCCACATCCCAGAAGACTGTTTTCTTTATCTGTTTCCTATCTTTATATCACGTTTTTATCCTGCATTCTGGTGACGAGACAGCAACATATACTTAGTTTTCTCAGTGTTTACTTCTAGACCAACTTCTTTTCTTGCGTCAATTAAAGTTTGTGTCTTTTTCTTTATGGTATCTATATTATCACCCAGTAGATTCATATCCTTGGCATAGGTCAACAGCTGATGTGTCCCATTTAATTTCAGTCCCACCTGATTTCCCTGGACCTTCCTAATGGCATATTCTAAAGCAAAATTGAAAAGGAGTGGCGGTAAAGCATCTCCTTGTTTTAGACCATTCTGGATAGGAAATTTATCAGACAAATATTTACCTACATGGACTTTACTATACCTTTCGAAGTTGATAGCAGTGATATTCCCCAATAATTACAGTTTTATCACCCTTCCTGTGAACTGGTACAATAATAGACTCCTTCCACTGATCCGGCAATTTTTCCTTATGCCAAATAGAAGTAATTAGATTGTGGATCTTAGAACATAATATTTCACCTCATGCTTGAATAAGTTCTGCCGGAATTTGATCACTACCTGGTGATTTATTCTGTCTCAATTTTGCAATAGCACTTTCAACATCGAAAGTGCTAGGATCAGGTATGGATTTCTGTCTGCCTAACAGCACTGACCCTGTGTACATTCAATGAATGAGAGAAGTAGTTCCTCCACCTATTCAAAATGTTGTTGGAATCTGCAAGCAGATCACCATTCTCATCCTTCACTAAGTTACTGCTAGGCTGGTAACCCCCTTAAATGTGTTTATTCCTCTATACAGGTCTCTAATGTTCTTATTCTTACTGTTCATTGCAAGCTCATAAATTTTGTCTTTGAGATATTCCCTCTTTTTGTTCCTGGAATTCCTTCTGGTTTCACATCTTATATTGTTCAGATTATCCCCATTTAACTCGCTTTGATCCTGTAATCATTGCAGTTTGGCCTGCTTACTGTGATCTAATAATTTTGAGCATCCTTCATCAAACCATGGCTTATGTCTCTTCGGTTCATAATAACCTAGACTCTCTCTAATAGTTTCCCAAGCTTTATTAACATCCACCTAAGTTTCCAAGTTTTCGTCCATGATTTATTCTGACAGTCTTACAGTGCATACATTTATTCACCTTACTCTTCTCTCTTGCACTACATGTTTCGGCACTAAAGTGCCATCTTCAGGGGCTTTTCGATGTATGTCGAACTACTGCATTGCATGCCCTGTTGTCTTTGTACTAAAATAACTAAAATATATATTCGTCATATATTGCTAAACTTTAAATATTAAAAATGTTCAGGATTTGTCATCCTTATGTCATATTTCAGTACGCGAGTCACACCTATCTTCTTCTGTCGGAGTTTTCTTCCTACGTTCATGTGTATTGTGCTTTGTTCTGTGTCTTACTCCTGTGACTGCGTGTGTTATACTGCTGGGCCTGCTGGGTATGTGTGTGTGTGTGTGCTGTCTTCGTTTTGATTGAGTTCCAAGTTTTCCAAAGCTGTTAACCTATTTGAGATTTCAACACGATACTGCTCTTTACCCTTTACCTCTTTAATTTCTTTATTTGAACTTCTCCATATGAACTCTGTGTGTTTGTTTGCTCACTGCTAGTCTTTTCCTAACCTTTTCCACCACCAGGTAATGGTTAGTATCACAATCTGCTTCCCTAAATGGTCGAACATCAAGTATACTTGAATGCCGTCTCCGGTCTATCAAAATATGGTCTTATTTGATTGTGTATCTTTCCATCAGGAGATGTGAAAGTAAATTTATGGATGTTATGATGTGGGAACATTGTACTTTTGACAGTAAGATTTTTGGATGTGGCAAAGTTTTCTACTCTAACTCCATTATCATTATTAATTTCATGCAAACTCTCATTCCCAATCGCTGGTTTGAAAATGTCTTCCTTCCCTACTTTGGCATTGAAATCTCCTAACAAAATTTTCATAGGATACTTCAGGAATTTATCAAATACATATTCTAGTTCTTCATAGAATCTATCCTTTATGTCATCAATTTTATCTTCTGTTGGGGCATGAACATTTGTAACAATGATATCACACCAGCGACCTTTTAGTATTATATATGATATCCCATCAGTAATGAACTCTGTCATCTTAACTGCTGATAGGATTCTCTTATGTACGAAAAAACCTGTACCTAATTCATGATTTTCATTCCCCTATCCATAGAAAAATGTATACTCTTCTGCTGGTGCGATGCCACCTCCATCCCGTCTGACCTCCTGTACTCCCGCTAAATCTAACTTATATTTTAAAGATTTCTTCTGCTGATTTCTGCTGAGCATTAACTATCTGAATGACATTTCTTATAGTGTTATAAATAAAGAAATGAATGAAAATGTCAGTGGAAGATTCATATTTCCCAAATCCATTCTTTCCCACTTTCATACCCCATTAAGCCTGATAACATATTTATTTCAGCTACAAACTGTTTTTTATTTTGATTATCTCCCAGCATTATTATTTATCTAGAGACACAATTTTATCTGTTTTTTATACGGCGTCATTCTATCCCAAATAAATATTGTTATTTTTTTTAGGACTTTGATCATTTGTTTGGGTTGTGGATTGTGTGTCTCCTTGGCCATACATTTGGAAATTACAAAAATTTTTACCAAATGTGTCATTAGAATTCTTATTTGTTCCTGGATCTAGTAAAGTGATACAAATCTTGTGTTAGGCAAACACTTTATATTACAAATCAAGAAGACTCTTGAGCTGACACATGTAAGAGGTTAACATAGATTAAAGACACAAAATGAAGTTAACGTATTGGAAATAAGCTTCTGCTTCTGTAGTTTTGTCTAAAAATATTCAGATGCCTCTTGTAAGCTGTTGGTACTGAAATGCTATACCCTATAATATATAAAAGTACTAAATCCTAACTAGACACCAAGACACTAAATTCATATCTTTACAGAAATGGGGCACAAGGATGTAAATTTGATTCATTTGGCTTGCAGTAGGGACCAGTGTCAGGCTTTTTGAACAAGATTATGATCGATTATTGGCCTGAGATATGTGGCATCATCACATCCATAAAGACAGTAACCTTCATAGTCATCAATGTGAGAACTTTAGATCTCTAGGTAGCCCTAATTGTCCTTCAGATTCGACAAGATGCGAAATTTCTTGACCATCTGAGTGATTTCTAGCTTCTATAGGACTCCGCTTCATGGAGTTAGTTATGATTTACACTATACTGAGCAGCAAATTGGCAGAAAATTGGAATAAAGCAGTCATTGCCTTTTATAAAGTACTATAATAGAATTTGGCCGAAAGAACTGGGCCAATTGGGAAAACTGCGAAACGTTGGGAGAGTCAGTTGCTGAGTTTAAGATTTTTAATCCAGTATCTCCAGTCTTTGAACCAAAAGAACTAAATACTGCACCATGATATTCAGTTTTAGTCTATACGGTGGATTGATTCTTAAATTATTTTGTGAGAGCATTTCGTTGGGTAGATGCCATAGATAGATACTATTTGCTGATATACACTCAGAGCTACTGACAGCAGTGTTAAGTTACTTTGAGTAGATAAGTAACAAACACGTATTTCCATTTTACATAAGCCCTTAACGCATGCACTTACAAGTTTTTAAATTGTTTTCTTATTTTATGTATTCTGTGAAGTGAAATTTGGTGCTTTCAGTTGGAGCTTGTTTAAAACACTTGTCCAATGAATTCTTGTTTTGTACATGTGTATTTGTGAAAAAAAAAATCAAAGGAAATAAATTAAAATTCAATATTTATGGTTTATTTATACCTAATCATCATTGTAATTCACTAGATGTTATATGATTGTTATTATATTGAATGTTGGTTTTATGTTCATGTTGTAAGTCACAAAATATGTAGCAGTGTTTTCATTTCTCTTAAACTATTTCATATTCATAGTAATTATTTCTTAGACGAGTTTGTGAATGAATCATTTCTAAATCAGTAAACTTTTAACTCTCTTTCCAGATAGAGGACATAATAGACATGATGGGTTTGACTAAATGTAGAGATACAAAATGTAGAAGCCTGTCAGGAGGACAAAGGAAGCGACTTTCTATTGCACTAGAACTGGTTGACAATCCCCCAGTTATGTTTCTGGATGAACCAACCACGTAAGTTTAATTTATGAGCTAGAAACTGAAGGTCTTATTGGATTGTATTGAAGTGATGGGGTGAACTGGTGGTTTGGAGCACAGTTTAGAATAGTGCACATAGAACACTGGGATCTTTGCAGGAGTGTTTATAAGTTGGTTGAATAATTGCAATACATCATAATGGTGATATTGCAAGGATTGCCTATGCTTAACCTTCTGATTTCCATCCTTCATAGCTACATGTTTTTTAAAATTATGTACTGTTAATAGGTCTATGGAAAAGAGATCAGAATTTCGTTAGAAGTCTCTTATTATTGTGACATCAGTGAGATCATGTAGTTACAATGTACTTTGAAATAACTGGATTATATTCACCAACAGCAGAGCATCAGTCATTTTTATTCTTTTTATTTCTTTGCAGGGGATTGGATAGTGTATCATCCTTACAGTGTGCCAAAGTGTTGAAATCCCTAGCAAGAGGTGGGCGCACTATTGTGTGCACAATTCATCAGCCATGTGCCACTGTCATGGCCTTATTCGATAATGTGTACATCTTATGTAATGGCCAGTGCATGTATCAAGGTGCCAGTAACAATATACTTCCATACCTGAGACAGTTTGGATTAGAGTGCCCTAGATATCATAACCCAACTGACTTCAGTAAGTTTACAAACCATATTTCATAGTTTTTTTCTTAAATTCAAATATTAGCTCAATTTTAATAATAACTTCCCAAGATTCTTAGACCACAAGTTGTGCAGTATACCTGCAAATTACCTGGCACATGATAAAATGTCTAAATTGGAGAAATATTTAATTTTGTTATGTGGTGTGGTTCTTTCAAAAAGGTATTATATAATTACATCCTTTCTTGGTAAGAAACAGGAGCAGTTGTCTCTCATTTAATTCTCAAGAAAGATTTATACTACAAAAGGTTTATTTGGGTTTTCAGTGATGGAGGTTGTATGTGGAGAATATGGTTCCTACCAGAGTCTGTTGATTCAGGCTGCGAAGAATGACATTTGGAACTTGCAAAAGCATGTCCCAGGTATGCTTTCAATTCCATAATTCTTGATGCTAAGTTTATATACATCGTTATTTTGTATTCAAGATTTGTAAAATGAAATGGAGATTATGTAAAATTTAATGACACTAAGTAACTCTCAGGAACTCAATTAATACAAGAATTTGGTTACACTAAATATAACAGTTGACTGATTAATGGTCCTACCTCATATCTAGAGACACCATATTCCAATTTCCACATCAAATCCAGCTATTCCAATACAGTTTTGTGGCATTTTCTTCAGTTACAACATTAAATTTTGGGGGGAAATAATTTAAGATAAGTAATAACTGCCTCCACATCCTTCCCCATTCACAATTTACAGTCATTGTTTTGTTCAACATTCTATAACCAGTGTAGATGAAAAAGTATCATTAAATGATTTAAGAAACAAATAAGTGGCTGTATTCAGAATTGTGACATATCGAAGAGTAATAGATAAAGAAGGTTTACCTCAGTAGTGAAGCATCTACAGTTTGAAAGGTTGCATTTTTACAATGGTAAGTTCATGTTTCTATGGTTGTAGCATTTATTTCTGTAGACATGAACTGTGAAAGCCCTTCCAATACAGCACATTCAGTTACCACCACCCACCACCCACCACGGTGGTGTCTTTAGTTAGATGATATAAATTTTACTTTGTATTAAACTCTGTTATAAACTAGGTATTTGTTGTTGCTTCATGACCAGAATGTAAGGCTAAGATATAATATAAAGACTGTTAATAGATCCTTTAAAAATGTGGCAGTGTTCAGATATTTTGCAGTAACAAATCAAAATCTGCGTAATAAGAAAATTAAGAGCAGATTGAATCTGGGTAATACTTGCTACTCTTTGGTTCACAACCTTTTTTCTTCACATTTGCTGGCAAAAAATGTAAAAATTGATATATGCAAAACTACAAATTTTTTCTGCAGTTTTGTATGGATGTGAAACTTGGTCTCTGTCATTAAAGGAAGAACACTGACTAAGGGTATTTGAAAACAGGCTGATGGAGAGAATCTTTGGGCCAAAGAGGGACAAAGTGTTAGGATGTCGGAAATATCTGAGGAGCTCATAACTTGTACTCTTTGCCAAATATAATTAGAATGCCCAAGTGAGGGAGGATGAGATGGGCATGGAATTTAGCATGCATGGGGAGAAGATGAATACATATAGCGTTTTGTTGGGAAATCCAGAAGGAAAGAGACCACAAGGAAGACCTAGATATAGGTGGAAGGATAATATTAAAATGGATCTTAGGGAAAAAGGATGGAGTGTTATGAACTGGATTTATCTGGCTTATGGTAGGAAGCAGTGAAGAGCTCTTATGAATATGGTAATGAATATTTGGGTTCCATAAAATTTGGGGAAATTTTTGAATGGCTGAGTGACTGATGGCTTCGCAAGAAGGGCTTAACTACAAGAAGTTGTTTGGTTAGTTAGTTATTGAACTCTGTTATATTTACATGTATTCAAATTCAGATATTATAGTTACCTTTTAGCGTTGCCTTTTAAGTAAAGTAGCTTGGAATGAAGGTGGACACTAAGAATGAAATGTTTTGTGCCATATGTTCATGTTCTGTTCCTGAATAACAGTGTTATGCACTGTGTTCATCTTATTTTAGTTAAGACTCCTCTTTTTATGTATGATGACTCTTTGTTAAGATGATAGTAACAGACAATAACCATTTCATCAGTCATTAGGCAAGGCTGTATTATTATTATCGTTGGAGGGGGTGGGTTTCCCCATGCACCGCGACTTATAGTCTATTGTACGTCCCCCTTTCATATTCTACCAGTCGCCATACCCTACCAGTACTGGCGCATGCTGTCAGCCCCATTCAGCCAACGAGGTCGGCCCTCGGTACTCGATACTTCCCCCATCTACCAGAGGCATTGGAAACTACTTGGGCGGGAAACTTTTTGCCTAATTTTGCTCAGAGGTCACCTAGAGACATGAGGATCTTTTATGTGCCGTAAATCTCCAACACGGGACCCACGGCTTAAAGTCCCTCCCGGAGGATTTGTTCCCTGAATTTTTCCGCCCTTAAAAATTCCACGACCTCCACCAGTTTTGAATCATGAGGTGGGAACGTTACCCCATAGGCAAGGCTGTAACTGGCAGTGATGTTCTTGCTCTCACTTCAACTGTGAGTGCCAGTCTTTTATAAATCATTATATATATATATGATTATGGGTGTTAGTTTTAGGCACCAGTTAGTGTACATCACAATATGCTTAACTCGAGTCTCTAAAAAATAAATCTCATTGGTCACTATTGCTGTGTATTTTGTTATGCCATAAACCATGAAATAATGGAAAATTGAGCTGTAATTATGATAGAAACAAAGTGTGCAAACAGTTTTAATGATATGGTAATGATAATAATATGATATTCAATTTCAGCAATTGAGTCAGGAGAAGAATTGAAGCAATCTAAACCAAAGCAACCTTCGGAGAAAACAGTAGTTCCTAATGACTCACCAAATGAATATCAGAGGTTCTTCATTCTATTTAAATCCTACTATACTCAACTTTACAGAGACTGGGTAAGTGATAAGGTAACAAAATTCTAGGTCAAGTGAAATTAACATGCAAATAATATTAATTTACTAATAATTGTAAATGAAGTCCCATCTGCCTGTCATAACAGTTACATCTTGTAAAGTACTGAGTATGAGTATGAAGGGTGGGCCATAAATCTGACCCTTGCACCCCGACCTTCAATGATCTGTTGTGCTTCCCCTTTGTATTGACCCTTTATTAATCCTGCACTTTGAATGAAATGTAGGACTTTATTTATGGGGGCATCATGAAAGTCACTTAGTTCCATGAAGAACTGACCCAGGTGGCGGAATCTTAAGTAAGCTATAGCTTTGCAATCACATAAGATGTGTGTTTTAAAGTATTGGTTTTACAACTAACAGAATTTTCTCTACATGTTTAATTATTTAAATTTAGAAGTGTTTAAGCCAGTAGATATTAGAGGCATGTTATCTGTCAGCCTTTTGTTTATGATAATTTAAACGATAGCATGACATAAACCTCATGGAAAGAGAAGACATGGGAGATAGAGAACAAGGATGGGCAAACTACATCTCATAAGAGAGATTAGTCCACCCCACCAAAATGTTCAGCTATTACTATAATTTTAGTCCTCTTATAAATACTTATTTTATTAATAAATAATTACTAAAAAATAGAAATTGAGCTGCTGAGAAATGCTAATTTGGGGTTCTCCAGACATACATTTGTATTTTCACTTACTTTACTTACAGCTGCATGAGAGGAAATTGAGTGTGTGCCGGATTCTGTTTAATGAATAGCTTAATATCTTAAAGGTATCAACCTGAATTAAAAATATTGTGTCAAAATAATAATTTTGTGGTTACAGTTGTTTGATGTAAGAGCAGGAGGTGTGTTGTTATAATTATATTATTTATTATACTGCAATTGGGTTTTAGCCCGGTGGCAGTAGTACACAATAGGACACAACAGACAAGTAATACACATTACACTAAGTGACAACACGTTCAAACAAAACACAATACACAAAACACAACAATAAGGACATCCTACCACAGTGAATACAAACCAAATACGATTAACAATTACAACAATTACAGAGAAATACAAACAACTGTAACAAATACAACAACAACAACAAGGACATCCTACCACAATGAATACAAACCAAATACGATTAACAACTACAACAATTACAGAGAAATACAAACAACTGCAACAAATACAACAACAATTACAACAACAAGGACATCCTACCACAATGAATACAAACCAAATATGATTAACAACTACAACAATTACAGAGAAATACAAACAACTGCAACAAATACAACAACAATAACAGAGAGAGAGAGAGAGAGAAATACAACACCCAAAACACAAACAAAAGGAAACAAACAGTCATGGATGTGTAATGTCATTTACTTCACTTCACTTCACTTCGCCTCATTTATCACTTTCCTAATCCTTTACCTAAAATTGCTTGGTTTACAGGACAGAGTACCTAAAGCATCTGCAGGTAGTTGATTCCAGAGCTGTATAGTCCTATTTACAAAGGAGTATTTCCCGATATCTGTCCATTGCTTTCTACTCCTAATTTTCTTGCCATGATCACCCCTGCTCAGATAGCATGGTGTTTCTAATCTGTCACCTATAGCCTTCCAAGCCCGTTCTCCCGTGTATGCTTTGAAGAGAGCACATATGCGAGCTATCTTTCTGCGCTCTGTCAAGGTTTCCCAGTTCGATTCGTTCCTATGGTGTGCAAATTTAGCCGCTTTCTTTTGCACCCGGTCTAACGCATTTATCTGTCCCTCCCTGTAAGGATCCCAGCACGCCGCCCCATATTCCAGAATCGGACGCACTAAAGATGTGTATGCTAGACTTTTAGTTTTGCTATTTCCCTTTCTTAGAATACGCATTGTAAAATGAAGTGCCTTCCAGGCTCTTTTCACAGTGTAATTAACTTGATCAGACCAGCTTAGGTCGCTGCGTAAAATTATTCCCAGATATTTAGAGCTGCTCGCTTCTGGGATTACTGTGCCCCCTAACGAATAATTTAGTGGCTCCGTTACTCGAGCCCTCGTGAAACAAACTGCCTTACTTTTAGTTGGATTAATTTTCATCTCATTTTCATTATGCTAATGATGAATGATATTGTAACGTGTTTTACTACTGAAGACGCCGTTCGGATTGTTAATTGGTTTATTTAACAACCTACAAATCATAGCTACAATTAATTATGACAATGTTGCGGGTTTACATACTTTACAAACCCTACTCACTCTTGTCTTCAGTAGTCTTCATCTATTTATAACTCGGGAGCTATACAAGTCTCTCTTAATTACACACTCCCAATATAACTGTACTACAGCACACAATCTTGAAGTCATACAATAAGTTTTCACTTGCTGACTTCTCAGTTATCGCAGACTATAAAATCTTCTAATCACGCGTTCGGGTCTTCTTTCTGCGACTGCTGCTATATTCCAACTGACTCCTTAGTCAAAGTCAAAGTCATATTGCGACTGACGGTCAGTCAGTCAGTTAGTCAGTAAGTCTTGGTGTCGAGCCCCATCTGGGGCTCATGACTAGATGTTTATTACTGTTTGACACTTACGGTCTTGTTTCTGTGGGGCGCTCTCTCTGATGAGAGGACGAGTCTGTCTTTTGTATATGCTGCTGGCCCTTGCCAGCACAGTTTTTCTGGGGTCCGAGTTCCTTGGGACTCGCGACCATACTTGCACTAAGTATGTAGTGCAATTGAACATAAATTAATTGAAATGAAATGATATCTTTTCGTTCTTATTACATTTTTTAATGTTGTATTTACCTTGTTCTCTCTTTCAATGTTACAGACTGTTTCTCACCTGAAGGTCCTACTACATATCTTTGTTGGAGGTCTCTTGGGGGCACTTTTCTTAGATAGTGGTAACAACGGATCGAAAACAATCAGTAACCTAGGTTATCTATTCTGCTGTGTTGTGTATCTTAGCTACACCACAATGTTGCCTGCAGTAATAAGATGTGAGTTTTGATTGCTTTGTGTGTTTATTTATGGATTTAAAATTGACTGATTTACTCTGGTTATTTGTGGCTTCTATAAAAATATGAATATATTCAAACATAAACTAAAGAAATTTCAACATTATAGCTTCTTTCATGGAATGAAAATACAGCAACACATTTTGTGCAGTATTCGGTGAAAAGTAAGATCAATGTCTTGTGGAGTCATATGATGTGTGATTTTATTTATATTATATGTTTAAAAGTAAGGGGAAGTATAATCATTCTTTTTCTTTTTATATAGCAATCTGAAATAGCTGATATTTTAAATTTGATAAGAATTGCTGGCACACTATGTAGAATGAGATCCTATTATTCAAGTCTTCAGTATATTTTCTTGCATATAGAGGACAAAATTATTTATGAAGTATGTGTGAAAATTCCATATGCTTCTGATGATCACATCCATGCATCACGAATTCCCCCCCCCCTCCCCACACACACACACACACACAAGAAAAAGATTCCCATCTAGTGCAAAATCTAGATTTTCTCCCAGTCTCCCATCCATTCACTCACACAGGCACACATGTGCTCCCAGACATGGACACAGACATCTTTTGCCACACATTGAGTCTACTGTTTACGACTCCCACTGTTCAATGCATATTGTTATTTCTGTCATTTTCTTGGTTAATTGTGTTGAAAAATTATTACCCTTGTTAATGCCATGAATGAAGAGAGTAGCTGCAGCAGGAGTTTCTCTAAGAGAAAACACACCAATTTAATGCAGTTCAAAATGGGTGCAGGAGTTGTGCTATGGCCCATTAGGAAGTGATTCCTTATTAAATATGTTGTGGACAGCATGCTACATTTTCTGGTTATAGACCCACCTTTGGTACCCATCATTAACCCCTATTTACATAATGTATTATGGGTAGAAATTTTATAAGTAAAGGAGGTTCGTTTTAATTGACGTTTTCTCAGTCTAAATTACCCACTGATAATGAAGGCCTCCTATATAAATTAGTTATATCTCTTATTAGAACGAATATTATGGTTATTTTCTGACTGTTTTCCAGAATTATGTAGACAGTGGGCAAGACTGAGTCTGATCTTGAAGATTTCTTTCAGACAAATTCTATATCCATTTCCATGTCAGAACATTGTTGTTTTATGATTTCTATATGCAGATTTGTGAATTAAATATTTTGGTGTTTGCTCTGAACAAAATGAGCTCTGTGTCAATTATTTGTACATCTATGGACCTCAGTATCATGCTCTACATGACATTTCTTTTGATCATTATTTGCATTTCAGTTCCTTTGGAGCGTGCCATAGTTACGAAGGAACAATTCAACAACTGGTACAGACTGAGAACATATTACATGGCATTAACATTATCCAGTATACCAGTACAAGTAAGTGATATGTTTACCTTAAGGAACAACATTTTTACACAAAAGTTATGGCATGCAGTACATACAAGAATGAAGGAACCCCTTTCCAGATGCAGGACTTATATTCCCAGAAGTCACCAAATTGGGCAGAGCCCAATTTGGCATCTGAGGAAAATTACTGTTTAGTAGAGAAGTACTGCAAAATTTTCTGGCTGTTAAATGAAACTGTGTTGATCAGAAAGAAAGATTATTGTATAGTGCAGTTTTTTAAGACAAAGCTTCATCTTAAAGTATATCCTGTTTTCACTCATTACTTTAATATTAAAAGGTCTGTATGTTTATGAAGTAAATCTACAGTGTTATGCATACAAGGCTTAAAAAATCGTGGTAAAATATTATAACTAACCAGCTAACTCCATGAAGCTGAGCCCTTCTTGAGGAACCGCCTGCAGCTACTCAAGAGTTTTCCAACATTTTATGGAACCCAAAGGTTCATCACCGTGTTCACAAGAGCCCTCCACTGGTCCCTATCCTGAGCCAGATCAATCCAATCCATACAGCCATCCTGTCTCTCTAAGATCCATTTTAGTATTATCCACCCACCTATGTCTTGGTCTACCTAGTGGTCTCCTTTCTTCTAGTTTTCCCACCAATATCCTAGATACATTCCTCTTCTCCTCCATTCATGCTACATGCCCTGCTCACCTCATCCTCCTTGACTTTACCATTCTAATTATACTTGTCGAAGAGTACAAGTTTTGAAGCTCTTTATTATGCAGTTTTCTCCCACCTCCTGTCACTGCATCTCTTTTTGGTCCAAATAGTCTCCTCAGCATTCTTTTCTTGAACACCTTCAGTCTGTGTTCCTCCATTAATGTCATTTAAAGTATTACAGACATTTTTAACTAACAAAAATATTTTTATTCCTATAACATATTTGAATTTGAATTTGTTTTGTGAACTATGATAATTTTTATTGCTTTCTACAAAATTGTGAAAACTATGGCAACAGCCATCTTGATACCATGGGTTTGGTGACAAAAAGTTGCGCTAATTTAAGGGTTTGTGTTCTGCAGCTGTTCTACTGTACAATACACATCTCTGTATCGTACTTCTTGTCATCCCAACCTTTGGAATGGGAGAGATTCGTCATGATGCTCCTAATGTGCTTCATGTGTGTGCTTGTTGCGGAGAGTTTTGGGATTTTCTTTGGAACTCTTTTCAGCCCTGTTGTAAGTATGAAGTATTTTTTTATTAACTTATCTATAATGGCTTCACCAGAAACATAATCTGCAATCTGAAAGAGAGTCTGTTGTGACCAAATACTTTACAAAAACTAGAGAATCGTATTCATTATAATAATGTGATCTAATTTTGCCTGCATGACAAATTATAATAATAACAAAACCTACATATACATTCTTTTATATAGAAGGTATTCTTTCCAAAATGGCTCCAGTAAGTATTTAAGTTAATATATATATAATTTTATGGAACAGATCCAAAGAGATGTATTTTCTGGGCAATGGCTTGATACCATCTACTTATATAGTAAAAAGGTATGGCTGAACATAAGCTTGTATTTGTTTAATTAAGGTAATGGGACTTCGAATCCCCTCCTTAGTTCTTTAACTAAAAATGTTTGCACTTCTTAGGAAATTATGTATGTTAATATTATTCAAACTTTTATTATCTTATCATGATTTAGTGGTAGAATTCCTGATTCTAATTCAAGGCATTCCAATTTCAAATATCATTCCAAAGACAGCCATTTCTGACTGATGCTTTAGTTGTGTTCCTTTTACCTTTCTGGCAAATCCCAGGATAGTATCTCAAATTTAGCCTTTCTACTTTCTTCCATGTGCTTTCCAGTTCATTATTTTTTGTTGTTGTATTATTTAATGCTCTGCGAATCATAGACAGTGACAGAAAAAGAACCCAGTGCTTGGGGGTATAACTGGGACACCCTGTCGCTGGGGGACATAAATACAAGGACCTGGTCCTCCGGGTTGGGGGTTGAATGCAAGGCTGATGACCTTGCTCTGTAAAAAAATTGTCACAAACGCCAAAGAAATGAAAACAGATGCAATCTGGCAGAATCTTCTAAGAAAGGCTATGGCTCAAAAAGGGCTGTCTTGCAGCAGATATTTTATACTTAATCCATTTGTAGAAAGCTAATAAGCAGTCCCCTCCCCTCATGAGCTTAAATAATAGTTCAAAACAGCTGCATGTGGCTCATGAGCCATTGTTTGTCACACATGCTATGTAGACTGAGCTACTAACAGCATCAGTAAATAAATCGTAAAAAAAGAAAATTGTATTTTCTTAGATATTTTATGCTGTATTGATTTTACCCTTAAAGTCATTCACTCTTGTTTACTTTATATGTCTTGAGTTAGTTAACTCTTATGTCCAGCAAGTGTAATGAAGGCTTTGCAGATCTTGCCTCCTATCTTCTTACTGTGAGAGTAATTTTCGTTCTGTTCATGTAAGTATGCAAAAAGTGTACTGCATTCTCATCCTTCACACATTTTTTGCTGGAATAATACTGTCTGTTTTAGATGGTTAATTAGTTACATTGCTGTGGTACTCTGTTATACATCTGGAGTGATATTTGAAGTTTTCAAGGCTGTGAACATTTACATTTTGTTCCTCTAAGTCTTGCCACTGTGTAGTCTATTAGGTGGTTGCCAACAGTTTGAAGAACCTGCCCCCTCCATCTTCAGGAAAGAAATCTAATAACCTTGAAGACCACAGTGTATCCTGATGTTTATCCTATCTCTTTCTTCAGTATTCCCAATTATTTGTTTACAGCTTGAATAAAATCACTTTCTATAGTTTCAAGTGAAGTGTATAAATTTTTAGAATCTGTATGACATTTTGTTAGGTGTAGCAGTGTCCATTGTAAAGCAACAGTTTAAACATGAATAGATCATGCTTCTTCCCAAGTAAGATGATTATGCATTATTTTTTATTCTTACAGACAGGGACATTCTGTGGAGCTCTTTCCATAGCATATATGATTCTATTTGGAGGATTCTTCATCCTGTTCACACACATGCCAAAGTACCTGTACTGGATGTCCTACTTATGTTTCATCAGATTCAGTTATGAAGGAATAATTACTGCAGTATATAGTTATGATCGACCAAAACTTACGTGCCCAGAGGACGTTATCTATTGTCATCTCAGCAATCCTGAATATATTCTAAAAGAGATGGGTGTAAGTGGAAATGTATATTGGGTTGACTTTGGTGTACTACTTGTAATGGTTGTGTTTATGAGATGTGTTGGATACTGTGCAATGAAGAAAGTGATGAGCAGCAGGTGAAGTACTGTGTGCTATTGAAGAGGAATATCCAATAAATGAAACTAAGTGTAGCGAAATAAGTGGGACAAATATTCAAATATGAAATTCCAATATGGCAAGGAGGATAGATAATTACATACACATTTCATCTAAACAGAGAACTTTTCAGCACTAAGAAGTCAGTTGCTTATTGGTTAATTCTGTCCTATTTATTGTGCAATGAAAGAAAATATGGGGCTGTCAGTACACTATAATGACAGATTTGGAAGAGTACAGTTACTTTCAGAGACTGGTGTAACCTGTTATTCTAACAGTTTAGGGTCGTGGTGCCAGGATCTTAACTACAATACTTGGGACCAACAGTGAATTGGAAGAAAGTGAAATGTAAGATTAATAACTAAAGTTTTCTTTAAACCTGATTTAATTCTTGAATGCTGCATGTATACATGTACATCCTTTAACATGTCAGGTTTGGTTAGGCTAGGTTACAGATGTACATATATAAACCCTTAGATATGTTAGGTCAGGTTAGGTTGTGTTACAGGAGTACATGTCATTTTACATATTAGATTAATTTACAGATGTACATATAAATCCGTTCACATGTTAGTTTGAAACATTTTAGGATAAAAATGTACATATGCATGTATGTTCTTTGATTATTATCTTATGTATGAGTGGCTATAGACAAGATTTGGATTGGTAACTGAATTTATTGAACACTTACAGATTGTAACTACAAGAAACTATAGTGCTATCACTAATTCATATACACTATAGTTCACTATATCACAAATTGATCCTTGTTAGTTTATTGATTCTTCACCAGTCAGTGCCTGGTGACAGATCCTCTGCTTCTGTGCTCACATTCTTATCAGCTGGCGACTACCCCACAACGAATTTATTGCTCCAACTAACTCCCAGGCTGGAAGCCATCTCACATGAACCCCCTGCCCTCTCAAGATTGTCTCCTAATGGCAGCTGCCCCTTGCTATATGACCTTAGAATAGAACACCATTTCCAACCACTCTTCTATTGTTGCGGGCATGTCTGTTTTGGCCATTACCTAGCAATGTCCGTTGTTTAATGAGCCATTACTCAGCAATGGCTATTGCATAGCTGCTTATTGCAGAGTTGTTGCCTAGCAGTGGTTCTACATGCCACAATATGTTGGGTTAGGTTATGTTACAGACACGCATGTTCTTTTGATAATTCTTTATTCCAAAATTAGATATAAAAATTAGCACTGAGGATTTTAATATGGTTTTTGTTCTTGAAAATACTGAATATCTCTATTTACATTTAGTTTTGCCTGCAGGTCATATAATTATTTCAGTTTTGACTTGTTTCTGTTTCAGCTACTTTGATGAATATTTAATGATTAATATCTGTATTTGTATTATGTGAGCATGGAGTTTGTCTTTCACTGTGATATGAAGGATTGAATGTATATGGAAACAAAGTGATGACAATAATAATACTTGCATCAAAGAAATACAAACTAACAGAAAATGGAGAAGTGTCACAACTACATGCTTCATTTTAGATTTGAGGTCCTCAGCAGTGACTATGAAGGGAACTCTATTCTGGGATGTAATGCTGTGTAGTTAAGTTTAAGCCCATTAGACTACATGGCATTGCATGCCAGATGAATGTAATATGTTTCCTTGAACATAATATATGCTTGCAAAAGCAAGAAATGAGTTCAAATGTAAAACTGCATAAGTAGTATCTTCAGAAAAATAAAAATATGTGCACTAAAGGCCAAATAGAGTTTATTAAAACTGGCTTTACTGGTAAAATGGATTTCTTTCTTGGTCAGTATTCAACAACCAGCAGAGGCCTACTGAGCAGTAATCAATTTTGTTTCCAAGGTAACATACGCAAGGTCAGCCATATATGATAAAATACAGGGACAATGTTTTGCACCAAAATTTTCCAAGTTAATTTTATGTTATTACATTCACAGACTTCTGGTCATAATAAACTCTAGAAAGTTAGACCATTTTTCTGGTACCTTTGATGTTGTACATCAGAAGGGTAATGTCTCTGTTTCTTAAAAATTATGAAAGTTTCTCTGGGTAATCATTTATCATTCTTTCACTGTTCACTAACAGTTTAAAATTGATTGCAAGGCCCGTTTCATCAGAAAACTATTTCATAAATCACATTATTATATAACTAACTCTTGTTAGTTAATTTTCCTTGATTTTCCTAATATCAGTATAGAATATTGAAGAACCCTTTATTAAAGATAACCATAAAAAAGTGATCTTTTGAGGCTGGCACATAAGTACAAAGAAAGAAAAAGAGAGAGGACGACAATTTTATTTCTTTGTACTTATGTGCAGCCTCGCTAGACCACTCGACTCCTGTCAAGATCGTCTCTCGGCAATAACTGAGGCAACTGAAACTGCACCCTTCAAATGAGTCCATCCACTGTCCCAAATCAACAACACAACTTCCACTGTCCAAAAAGTGTTTATTTATTCAGAAGCAAAATATTACACATTCCTTTGCAAGGAATAATATGGTCCTTTACTATTATCAGATTTTAACTATCCCAAATGAAGGACTGATGAATGTAGAGAAACATGAGGAGTGCAGCCCAATGGTGTCTGCCTCCGATTAATTGAAACCGCCAAGTCCCCAAAGGCGGGAGCATCACTTCATCCCCCAAGAAGGATTTTAATCAACGGCCTCTCTCCCAGACAAGAATTCATTTCCAATTGGCTGAATTTAATTAGATAATTCATTATGCATCAGCACAAGCCAATCACACAACGACCTTTGAAGATAAAACTGTTCCCAAGATACAGAACTCAGAACCCCTCATGTGAAAGTGGTTATTTTCTTTAGCTTAGGGTCCAGCTGCACATTATGACAGCTACACATGTCAGCAAAACAAAATTCACATCTTCGGAAAACTTGCCTCCCATGGTGACCTTGTCCCCTTTCCAGTCCTCCAAACTGCATGTAAACAAAACCAAGACAGTTGGTTTCTTTCCAGATACGAAAAACGAGTCATAACATGCTAATCAATATGTCTCACCAATAAATCAGTCTCCCTTTCGAAATGGCTGAAGAGGACCGTAGCGTCCGCCGAGAACTGTAACAGGTTTGAACTGTCAAACTTGCATAGCAAGAAATGTGAATACATAATAAATAAAATTCAGAAGTGATAAATATGTATTTAATTTTTTTATTTTATTAAGGAAGATAATATGATGGAGACAGAAGTAAATGTTTCTGCTGAAAGTTTGTCTATTTGTGTTCTGCACCTACCAACTGAAACACGATGTTNCAAGGGGCTTTATACTAGGTCATTTCAAGGTTTAAAGACAGTCTATTAACTGTAAATATTGGCCACGCCATAGCTCAAGCGGTTAGCTCCTGGCTTCCCACCGCGGCGGCCCGGGTTCGATCCCTAGTCTGGTCAAGTGAGATCNGCGACCTTCCGGCTTCTATTTACCAACAATAATGGCTTATTAAGGCACTTATTAATTACATTTCTTTATTCGCATAGTAGGGGGTGGAGTCCAGCTGGGTCCACTCGGCACGGCGGTCACTGATTGGCCTATTGTACCTGCCCGGGTGATTATGATGATGGAGAATTGGGTGGAATGAAAATAGGCAGGGGAAACCGAAGTACTCGGAGAAAACCTGCCCCAGCGCCGCATTGTCCACCACAAATTCCACTTGACCAGACCCGGGATCGAACCCGGGCCGCCGCGGCGGGAAGCCAGCGACTAACCGCTTGAGCTATGGCGCGGCCCCTTAATTACATAACTGCCCCTGTGACAGCTTCATGATAGATTCCTTCCGGTAGCGTGTGTGTTTGGACCCCGAACCTCTTGTGTGATAACCGGCAATAACCGTCAGCCCTCATTTTCTGAAAGGAATAGTTCTCTAGTTCGACAGAAAATTCCAGGAAATGTAGCGAATATTACATCCTCTCCATCCATCAGGAACGAGCTCCTCTCACTCCTGAATGCCACATCATGTCCTATTTTTAACATGAGGCTAAGTAATTAATTTACTTAAATTGCTCTTAATTAACCTAATTTATAGTACCTTAACTCTAATAAACGTTTACAAATCCCACTCTTGACTTGGATGTCTGTGCTGTGTGTGTTTATTCTGTGTTTGGGTTGTTTTATATGTTGGTAGCGGCATTGCGACGGGCTGATCCCCGTCCAAGGGGTCCTACCGACTGTGTATAGGATCGAGAAGCTGAAAAAGTGGCCAAGGTCCAACAAAGTGCAATACGATTTAAATAATAATAACAATAACTCTATGATGACATAACTGTATCACTGACGTTGATTCACCATCATTCCTGTAGTGGACAGAGTAGAAAACCTGGGATTTTATGATCTGACCTTAAATGTTGTTATGATTGTCATACTGGCCGATTTAAACAGAAACGAACAAAGTTGGTAGTGATACATGTAGGTGTAATTGTCATGTGCTGCATTCCGTCTCTGTTGTGAAAAAATATCGCACAAATGAATGTTTACAATTTAGTTAATTTTACCAGTTGTTGACACTGCGTAGTAGTCACACGTTGGGCGACCACTTTGTCCTAACACTGTCCCACGATGAGGATGGCACTTTTGACAGCGCTTCTACTCGTTCGTTGCTTTGACGTAGTCTCGGTTTGTCGCAGGGACGCCACGTGGTCTTAAAACTACGTCTAGTGTAGAGAATGTCTTGAGAGCAGGGAAAGGAAACAATGTTCATGGTTGAGCATAAGATTCCGTTCAGAGCTTAACGGGCCCTGCTCCGACGAGAGAGCTGTTTTGCGGAAGAAGTCCATGGATTTGACTTTAGCGTTCAAATAACGTACTTGATTTGTTTTGACAGTATCACACACTTTTACAAGGCAGTCACTTAGGCTGAATGTTACATACGCTCTGTGTATAAGTGTCAATATACACTGGTTCGTCACTGATGTTTGTTTTTTTTTTTTCCTCAACACTATGCTTCATAACACTTTTATTCATTGTTCATAGTTGACCTTGTCCTTGGGACGCATCAGCTGTTCAGTTACTTGATAGGTCACTCTTACTATACTAGTCTGTTAGCATACGTTCGTGGTATTACAATCAAGTTTCACAAAATTTACAAATTCTTTCTGGATTTATTTACAATGGTTTCTTAAATTTTAACATGTGGTAAGTAAAGTAAAAAGTAAAGCTATCCCTGTAACAGGCCGTGAAGGCCCATAGGGTTGTGAGACGTTGAGGGTCTCACATTATCTAGACATTCGGCTCAAAGATGGCGGTAAGGTTGTCAGCCTTACGCGCCGGCCGCGCTTTACGCCCCAGGAAAATTATTTAGTTAATTCCTGACACTCATTTCTGTTAGAGGCTGAGTGAACCCCAGGGCCATAGTGCGGCTGGAAGGATTAGGTCAATTGAAAAATCCAATGACCTCATTGGTAACTGAACCCGCGACCTTCCGGCTTGTAGCACATTAAAGAAGCTTATCACTTGACCTTGTAAATACCCAAATGCCTTTTACATGGGCGCGACGTATTTTCAATACCAACCCCTTTAGTGGTAGATACCAATATATTCCTTAAATTTCCTCAAAAAATAAAGATTCATATTAATTTTTTAACTTCATCAAATGTACTAAATTTCATTTTCGAAATATCCTTGTAAACTATCTGGACTGTCCTCTCACTAACAAAGCGTTCAACTATAACTAAATATGACTATTAAGAGGGCGATTACTTAGTCTAAAATCCATACTTAAAGAAATTACAATTCCTCAATCTGATCGTTAAATTACTCAGTTATTTATTTTAAATTATGTTTTCTTCTGTGTTTGTTCGAAATACATTTTTTTTCGTTTAATCAAACAGGAAAAATAGGCATATTCAGCGATCTTGAATCAGCACGCTCTCCTATTAGGATTGGAGTCTGAAAAGGA